TATTATTATTATAGACATAAAGAAATATCTTTATTAAGACTATATATAATATAAGAATTATTATTACAGTAAGATTACCTTTCAGTACAAAAGCTATATAAAGAAGGGAAAAAGATGTTAATCGTATTTGCTTTATAACAAATTATATATTTATTTATTTTATTAACAAAGTAATCAGAAGTTACAATAAATATGTATTTATGTTTGTATTCAATACGCTCTAATTTACTTGAAACGTACAAATTATATATTTATAAAAGTATAATTTGGACTAATTAATGCTAGAAATTACGGTATTAAGGGGATGCTGGATTATCCTGTTGTACCATTAATTTTTGAAGGCTCTTTTCTCTTAATTGTGTTTATTGAAAAGTCCTTCTCCACAATTAAAGTATCAACAACACAGACTGCTAGCTACAATTTAATACGAAAAATTAAAGAAAATTTAAGACTTATAGTTTTGTTATCGGCTTCTATAGTCGACACGTCACAATATGGGCTGCATATAAGAGTTTCAGAGGTTTTACCTGTTTAAAATAAATAGCCAGCAGCCTACAGAAAACCTCAAAGAACAATACTATGCCTATAGAAATGAGCTAGGAGCTTTAGTATAAGAGAAAAGAGTCGCCAAAAATTTCGTTCATATGCTACGAATAAAATTGACGTGAAGCTATGACACCGAGCACTATTTTAGTTCCTCGATATTGTGACAGCGGCGCTGTCATAAAATGTGCCTTGCTGGATCACAGAAACGATCAGAATTATCGACCTACTCAGGCCCGTAACAAGTTTCTTGCGTGCCCTGGACAAAATATTTTCTTCTGAGAGGAAAAATAATAATAATATAAATATGATATATTAGTTATTTCAATTTTATACAAATAATTTCTTCATAAAAAACAATAAACGTAACATATTATTTACATATCAATACAAATGAAAATAATTATTTTAATTGTATTGTTCTGTCTTTTACATACACTTTATTTAGTAAATTATTGATGCATATACAGGGTATTTGAACATTTTCGCGACGCCTGTCACGAGCAGGTAGAACGGACCGAACTGAATCGAAAATTCTTATACCATTTTGCAGTTTGCGCAATAGTTAACGAGATATTAACGTTTAAAGATAGCCGAATAAGCGTGTCCGGCCGACCTACTGCTGCCGAATATCTGGAGACACTGGTAGTGTCTCGGCGCTAAGCTGCGCGAAGCGACACTTCCGTGCCTCCTTTAAGCCCATTCTACATAAGACGCAGAACGCAGGTTGGAGGTCACAAGGGAAACGTATTTCAGATTATTGTAATAGGTCGCAGACCGCAATATGTAGGATGCAAGATGCAGGACGCGAAAGTTGAAGTTGATCCAACTTTCTGCGTCCTGCGTTCTGCGTCCTACAATCATATTATAATTAAAATATGTTAGGTTAGTTTCTAGTTTTGCGACCTGCGATCCGTGTTCTGCGTCTTATGTAGAATGGGCTTTACGCGAATCGACGAGTTGCGGCAAATCGAGATTGTCGGATCTCAATAACGGCTGAACCGATCGCGTTCCATGTATGCTCAATCGATAGCCACCACACGGATTGTATGATAAAAGTGCTTTTATTTTTTTTCTACGTGCCCTACGAGCGGAGATATCGCGACGCAAAGTTCCGAAGTACTACTTTTTCAGTCCATTTTCAGATACGTCCTCCTTATTGTCATTATTGTCGTCGACCACATTCCGCGCATTCTTTTGGTGTCCATCTGACATTCTTTACGCAAGGAGCGCTAGTTTCGTGTTCTTCTGACATTCTTTACGCAAGGAGCGCTAGTAGTAATATACATATATGATCAGCGAGTGCTGCGATCTGGAGACACGACTAATTATTAGGGTACGTTTCCATGAGCGCGTCACGCGTCGCGTCGTCCACCGTGTCACGACGCGACGCGAAAGAGAGAAAAGGGTATACTAAACTTCACCTTTTCTCTCTTTCGCGTCGCGTTGTGACGCGGTGGACGACGCGACGCATGACGTGCTCGATGGATACGTACCCTTAGTGTATACACTTTTGGTTAGGTTAGGTCCGTCACATCGATGGTAGTAAAGGAACACGTAAGTGATTTTCTGCTTCTGCAATATACATTTTATAATTACTCGACACGTTTTTGTACGGAATGAACGAATCTGACAAAAAAAATTACCCCGTGGACCGAGATATTAATCTTTAAAGTTGATGACTATTCAGATTAGGAAAACCGTCACATCGATGGTGGTATAGATTACAGCAGAGTATTTTAATATAACAATTATCGCGGGGCAAATTTTTCATGTAATGTAATTTTTTAAATACGTTTCATGATGCATTTCTTGTCGAGGTTTCCTTGTGGTAAAGGGTGATCCCGATTGACCACGTCTCGATTGGACACCACCAATCACAGCAACCGGTGCTTAGGAGCTTTGTAGTCTCAAGCGCTGTAAGTGGCTCGTGTCCAATTGAGCCGTGTCCAACTGGGTGCCACCCGTGGTAAAGTAAACCTCTTATTAATGAATCCATCCAGAAAACATCGAGAAGATTTTTCTCAAACAAATTATCTAATTATTATTATGTATGAGTTTAATAATTAATGAATCCATCCAGTAAATGTCAAGAAGATCTCAAATGGAATTTACGAAAGGATGTTTGGAACAAAATTTGGAACTTTCAAATCTCTGTCTGTTTATCTGCAACGAACAATTTCCCAAGTCTGTCAGGACTATTGCATATTGTATGTAATTTTATTCCTCCCACAAATTATCTAATTATTATTATTATGTACGAGAAGCTTTTTTTACAAAATTCATTTTCAGGTTATATATATTTGAGCTATGGTATTACCATTCATAAAAGTCAAGGTTTGAGTTTATAAAATGCTATTATGGATCTAGGTAACAATGTATTTAGTTGCGGTCAGGCTTATGTTGCATTATCTCGAGTAACATCTCTTGATGGACTGCATTTAATTAATTTTGATCCTTCATCCGTGTTTGCTATTGAAAAAGCTATTATAGAATATAATCGATTGAAGCGAATACATAATTCAGAATCAGAAATGATCACTATTTCAAAACAGTGTTACCGTAGAGTTAAAGATGTTTTGTGGACATACATTGTCGAAAATGATTTCCTCCGTTCAAGAATCGGGACAAAAAGCTCCATTAAAAAGGACTGCTGGGACTATACGTGGTTTTCAAAATACAGACAAGGTTTCATGCTATGCGAATGCAGTATTACAATGTTTATTAAATTTAGATGTTTCCAGAAAGCTATTATTAAATTACGACAAACCTGATGTTTTAAATTTGTTCACATTTGATGTGAACATGGAATGAATAATTTGAATACCTATGAAATACAATCTTTAGGGGATTATTTTTCGGTTGCTATTAAGCGAGATACCTTACAAGTAAACCTTAAGAAATGTCAGACGCCGATGTTTCTCAAAATTTTTACAGTTGTTTCTTATGACAAAATAACAAGAAATCTGTCATTAATTTTAGCCCAAATTGCGTGTGTCTGTTAAAAAAAAATTTTTTATTATTCTTAACAATTACTCGATTTTTATATGTGTAAAGCAATATTTCTAACAAATGAATCTGTACCCGATTTTTTGAAGCTCGATACGCATAGAACACCAAAATAATAACAAAAATTATTAATAGTAAAGAAACGATTTCTCTTGAAAAAACTTTTTACAGAAATAGAGCTGGGTGCTCATCTGGATTAACCTCACGGTATCCTAATCACTAATTAAATTACGCAACAAAAAAAATAATCTAGTTTGCCCCTTTACCTTATTTTTTTTTAGATTTTCTATATTTTTTTATATATTATTATAATTCTACGTATTATAATATTATATATATTATTATATATAATATCCTTGTTTTTTTTAATCTTTTGTGAACTTCTTTTATATATTTGTATATATTTTTTATATTTTTGGTCATTTTTTTTATAAACGTACGAATGTTTAAGAAAATGTATTAACTTCGTGTTTGCGAAAATATGTCGAATAATATACTGTCAAACAATTGTTCAATAATATGTTATTCGACATAATTTTCACAAATGTGGACAGATCGAATGATACTGTGATTAGCACATAGATGAAGCTTGCAATAACTGCATCTATTAAATGAAATATCTTCACAATTATAAATTTCACATGTATATTTCTCAAAATTTAAACAAAATTGTGAAAATGTTTGGAATGTAACCGATGGTTTTTCTTTTATATAACCAGCTTTATACCATGCGTAAATTATTAAAGGTTTGAAACGAGGTGATGATATTTGATTCCAAACAAAGTCATTTAATTTGAGGATACCATTACGAGTATATATATCAAAATCTAACTCTTCTACAATAATGGTATCCTTAATTTTTCGCAAATAATTTTATGAATGGCCTGAAAAAACATAGGGGAGAGTGGAGCTGGTTGTGCCACTTTTTTTCGAAATGATATTAAAGAACCTCTTCTTCCTTACCTACCAATTCTTATACGCTTAATTGAACTAGCATAGTATTAATTTTATTAAATATTAGGTTTTATTGGTGAAATACTATTAATTCACACCAAAAAAAATTATTTTCTAAAAGTAGGCTATTGGCACACCCTGCCCCATGCGTGGGGCACTTTGTTCATAGACGTGGGGTAATATGTGCCGAGTCTTATAAATCATGGAGCAGTGTGTGACAAGCCTTGTGTAAATAAAGTTATAGGACATTAGGTGTAGTTTCCTATATTATTAATGATTATTTATTTGTACGAAGTTATATACAGAAAAATTTAGTTCTATACCATTGTATATTTATTAATTATATTATAAAATCTTATATTTTCATAACAATTACAACATTTTTTAATTATCACATCTTAATTTTTGGTTTTCGTTTTAAAAATAGATATTTTCGTTTTAGAAACTTTTTTTAACAAAAATCTTTCTTCTAAAAATCATAACTTATATAACTCTTAACCTGTTAATATCGCACTGCGTTTTCTTTGTCGAGTAGATCCTTTTCTAGGCGCTGCCTTTGGATATGGTCGTACTTGATCTGGTGAAATTGTTGTTGATCTGATTTTATTTGCTTTCTTTCTTTGAGGATTATTTTCAGGACTATGTTCGTTCATCACGTTCGATAAATCACAACTTACATTTGGAATGGTAAGCTGTTCCGAAGTAGAAATATTTGGCATTTCGATTATGATTGGCATATTCATTATATCAAAATTTTCATTCGATGGAACTTCCACATTACTGATTATCGCAGGTCTGTCTGAGACAGAAGAGCACAAAAATTCAACATCGTTGAAAATATTTCGATTAAAAGGCCAAATACCTGTACTTTCAAATCCTTTCTTGATATTTCTAGGAGAAAATGCAGTTGGATATGCAATACCGAAAAGGCCACTAATTTCATAAATTGAAATTGGTTTACCTGGGTGGCTTAACATCCAGTCATTACAGGCAATATTAAAAGCATTTTTTAAAGATTTATATACTGCTACATCAAGTGGCTGCAATTTATTTGAAGTGTGGGGCGGTAAAATTAAAAGAATAATGCCATTATTGTTGCAGAATTGCAAACTTTGAATTGAAACATGTGATTCATGATTATCGAGTATCAGTAAAACTTTATTTTCAATGGATGACCTTGTTTCATTTTGAAAATGTTTTAAAACTTCGACAAATAATGTGCTGTTCATCCAACCACTTTTACACGCGCCTCCAGCGGAGCCTGCAGGAGCACCATTGAGCATGTGTTCTTTGAAATTTACACGTGGAAACACTAAAAAAGGAGGAACCGAATTGCCATTCGCACATATGAAACAGCAAGCAGTAACAAGAACTCCTCGTTCACCGGATGTCACTTGACCAACCTGTTTCTGGCCTTTTTCTGCAACTATTTTAGGTGGATTATGCACGGTAGTAAGAGCTGTTTCATCTAAATTATAAATTGCTGACGGTGTAATATTATTTCCTAATTTTTTATACGCCACTTCCAAATTTTCAAAAAATTCGTTGACCGTAGTGCGATTAAAGCTAGTAGCTCGCCCTAAACTTGTTGCTTCAGGTTTTCGCAATGACAATCCAAGCCATCTTTTCATAAAGCCGTAGTACCAATCAATCCCAGCACATTTGTTTTCACTCCACGAATGAGGACAATTAATATTATTTATTACTGCGAGTTCATAAGCCAAGACCAAGACTTGTTTTCAGGTTAGTGATGCATTTTAGAAGCAGTTAATAGATATTCCATTAATTCTTTTTCAGTTTCATAAGAGAATATAACTCTTGACTGGAAATTTGGTTTAAACACAATTGTCTGTCGATCCTCTACTGAAGTCGAGTTGAATTTCTTAACATATCGGTCAAGAGTCATTCTGCAAAGATTTAAACTCGCAGCAGCAGCTCGGACTGACCACCCATCTTGTATTTTTTCAACTCCTAACTTCATTGCTTCTTCATCTATGAATCTTTCCGTCTTCCTTTTCCTATTACGAACCATTTTCTTACTGTGGTTGTAGCTATACCTAAACACCGAAACATAACCTTTAAAAAAAATTCCTGTTGCTGGCAGTTTTAAGTTTTCTGGCACAACCTGCCCCACTTTTTAATGGAACAAGGAACCCCACATGCCCTTTTACACATTTTTAGGTATAAATTTAAAAATATAAACTGTATTTTTACTATAAGTTAAGCTTTGACCGTTACCTAAAACTCTAAACAACACAAATAACCTCTCTTTTTAGAAATCAAGATCCCAGAAACAAAACTATGACGAAATGCAATAATGCAAGAAAAATTACTTTTGATGTCCCAAATTACACGCACATTTATTCCTCACCTCCGAAGTTACAGGTTTTAACCAAAACACGTTATCGCTTTTGCAAATGCCGAAGGAGGATTTGGAAAAATAAATTATACTTATCGATCGCGCGGATTTCGAGAAATCTCGACTGGAACACTGTGCCCCATGGCACAACCAGCCCCACTCTCCCCTAT